ACATAGAATGAGGTATAACAGAAAGACCACTGGACTAGGGATTAGAGGATCATTGGGGTTGAAGTCTTGGCTCCTCGCTGACTAGCGAGACACTTAATCTCTCTGAGCTTAGTTTCTTCATCTATAAAATAGGAATAACATCTATTTCTTAGAGTTATAAAGATTAAAGCAGGCAAGGTGGCTCACATTTGTAATCCCGGCACTTTGGAAGGCCAAGAGGACCACTAGAGCCCAGTAGTTTGAGACTGGCCTGGGCAAAACAGCAAGACCCTATCTCTACGAAACATTTTTTAAGTTAGTTGGGCCTGGTGACACGTGCCTGTAGTCCCAGCTACTCAGGAGGCTGAGGTGGGAGGATTGCTGGAGCCTGGGAAGTGGAGGTTGCAGTGAGCCATAATCTCACAACTGTACTCCAGCCTGGACAACAGAGCAAAACCCTGTCTCAAAAAAAAAAAAGAGTGTGTATGTGCTTGTTATACAAGTATTCAACATATATTATTTCCCTTCCCCATGCTGTTTATTCCTATTTATTTATGACAGTCTGGCTCTGTCACCCAGGCTGTGGAGTGCAGTGGCAAGATCTCAGCTCACGGCAACCTCCTGGGCCCAAGCCACCCTCCCACCTCAGCCTCCTGAGTGGCTGGGACTGCAGGTGTGCCCTGCCTGGTTAATTTTTGTATTTTTTGTAGAGATGGGGCTTCTCCATGTTGCCCAGGCTGGTCTCAAACTCCTAAGCTCAAGTGATCTGCTGCCTCAGCCTCTGAAATTGCTGGGATTACAGGCGTGAACCACTGCACCTGCCCCGTCCTATATTTAAAGGAATATTGTACATATGAATCCTTTTTAAGTTAAAAAATTCTGTAAAACTTTTTTTTTTTTTTGGCCAGGCAGTGGCTCATGCCTGTAATCCCAGCATTTCGGGAGGCCAAAGTGAGTGGATCATTTCAGATCAGGAGTTCAAGACCAGTGTGGCCAACATGGTGAAACCCCACCTCTACTAAAAATACAAAAATTAGCCGGGCATGGTGGTGGGCGCCTATAGTCCCAGTTATTTGGGAGGCTGAGGCAGGAGAATCACTTGAACCCGGGAGGTGGAGGTTGCAATGAGTCGAGATCATGCCACGTCACTTTTTTTGTTTCTTTTTTTTTGAGACAGGGTCTTGCTCTGTCGCCCAGGCTGAAGTGCAGTGGCGAGATCATGACTCACTGCAATCTCGACCTCCCTAGCTCAAGCAGTCCTCCCACCTTAGCCTACTGAGTAGACAGGACTGCCTGCCACTATACCCAGCTAATTTTTTTGCGTAGACAGGGTCCTATGTTGCCCAGGGTGGTCTCAAACTCCTGGGCTCAAATGATCCTCCTGCCTCAGCCTCCCAAAGTGTTGGGATTATAGGCGTGAGCTGCTGCATCTGGCCTAAACTTTTTTTTGAGTCTCACTTTATTGCCCAGGCTGAAGTGCAGTGGCGCAATCTTCACTGCAACCTCTGCCTCCCTAGTAGCTGGGACTACGGGTGCATGGCACTACACCTGGCTAATTTTTGTGTTTTGGTAGAGATGGGTTTTTGGCATGTTGGCCAGGCTTGGTCTTGAACTCCTGGCCTCAACTGATCCGTCTGCCTCGGCCTCCCCAAGTGCTGGGATTACAGGCATGAGCCACTGCGCCCAGCCCTAAAACTTATTTCTAAAGGACTAAATTTTCACATAATAAACTTTCCTATTATATCTGTACCTCATTTAACACTGTCTTCGGAAGTGTTTATTAACATCTAACATTTTACTGATAAATTAAGAAGGCATCTGAAGCTTAATCAGATTTACAAGGTTAAGAGTATATGCTCTACCAAATACTGGGCTATAATAATTTATTATAATGAACCTCCAGAGGGTTCAGATAAATTCATGGATTCCTTGTGATATGAATTAAAACATGTGCAAAGCCGGGCATGGTGGTGCTTGCCTGTAATCCTAGAAATTCAGGAGGCCAAGGCAGGAAGATTGCTTGAAGCCAGTAGTTAGAGGCTGCAATGAGTTATGATCATGCCATTTCACTCCAGCCTGAGCAACAGAGCAAGACCCCTGTCTTGCTAAGATAATAATAATAATAATAATAATAAATAAGAGGTTTGCAAAGTGTATCTTCCTGCCAGGCACGGTGACTCACGCCTGTAATCCCAACACTTTGGGAGGCTGAGGTGGGCGGATTACTTGAAGCCAGGAGTTTGAGACCAGCCTGGCCAACATGGTGAAACACCACTGTCTCTACAAAAAACTCAAAAATTAGCTAGGCATGATGGCACATGCCTGTAATCCCAGCTACTTAGGAGGCTAAGTCAGGAGAATCGCTTGAACCGGGAGGTGGAGGTTGCAGTAAGCCAAGATTGCACCACTGTACTTTAGTCTGGGCAACAGAGCGAGACTCTGCCTCAGGAAAAAATAAAAAAAATTTTAAAACCCACAAAGTGTATCCTTAATCAAGCCTAGAAGGTAACATCCACCCTTTCCTATATAGGACATACCCTTGTGTACCAATGACAACGTCTCTCCAGCTGGAGAGATCTTAACAGCTGTACTTCGACAAACCAGTAAGGTGCATCACAAGTAACTTGTTACTGATTAACATTAAATGTATTTATTTAAAACTATGAATAATTTGTTTTCTAAATTAAAACTGTTTTAAGTTTCCAGAAGAGTACTCTTTTTATTGTATTTGAGACAGAGTCTCACTCTGTTGCCTAGGCTAGAGTGCAGTAGTGCAATCACAGCTCAGTGCAGCCTCAGCCTCCTGGGTTCGAGATCTTGCCACCTTGGCCTCCAGAGTCACTGGGACCACAGGTGCACACAATTATGCCGGCTAATTTTTGTATTTTTTATAGAGATGGGGTCTCATTATATTGCCTAGGCCAGTCTCAAACTCCTGGACTCAAGTGATCCTCCCACCTTGGCCTCCCTAAGTGTTGGGATTATGGGCATGAGCCACCGCACTCGGCTTGAAGAGTACTCTCATTTATACTTCTGATAAGCTTTCTGATGGAAGAGAAAGGAATTTTTAGGCACAAAGCAGGAAATGGACAGAACCTTGGGTATACTTTCAGGGGCATGAAAAAATGTAATTATTACTTATATGTATCATAGAAGAAAAAAATAAGGTTTATAATAGTTGGTTTGGAAAACTAGAGAGAACACAGCATTTCTTATGGCTGATGGGAGAAGATGGAATTAACACCAGGTTGATATTAGTTGACAACAAATATCAGAGTGCTTGCTCTGTGCTCTAGTTAATGTGTCAGATTTCATAGAGATTTTTGGTACAAGAAAGCTTTGTGGAATATATGCATTCTATGTGTCAGGCTTAGTGCAAGGTATTATTAGAAAAAAAAGACTTAAAATAGAAACTATAGCTATATTAGATCAGATTGACACTTGGGAAAGATAGCTTATAGACCCAGTTTTGCCATTAAATACAGAACTTCATGAAGTTCTGTGGCTTTTCTGGCCCTCAGCTTCTTCATCTATAAAATGGGCAGAGGTGAACCAGACAACCTCTAAGGTTCCTTTAGATTCTAAAATTTTTAAAACCTTTGAAATGTTTATTCAGGTCTTCTCTCCTTGAGGTGTTCCTGGGAGATATTCCATTTGAAACCCTGAGACAACCACACCTCAGGATCAGGGTATTTAAGAATTTTCCGCTAGGCGCAGTGGCTCACACCTGTAATCCCAGCACGTGGGGAGGCTGAGGTGGGTGACCACGAGGTCAGGAGATCGAGACCATCCTGGCTAACATGGTGAAACCCCGCCTCTACTGAAAATACAAAAAAATTAGCTGGTGCGGGCCAGGCACGGTGGCTCAAGCCTATAATCCCAGTACTTTGGGAGGCCAAGGCGGGTGGATCACGACATCAGGAGATTGAGACCATCCTGGCTAACACGGTGAAATCCCGTCTCTACTAAAAATACAAAAAATTGGCTGGATGTGGTGGTAGGTGCCTATAGTCCCAGCTACTCAGGAGGCTGAGGCAGGAGAATGGCGTGAACCCAGGAGGTGAAGCTTGCAGTGAGCCGAGATCACGCCACTGCACTCCAGCCTGGGCGACAGAGTGAGACTCGGTCTCACAAAAAAAAAAATTAGCTGGTGCGGTGGCGGGTGCCTATAGTCCCAGCTACTCGGGAGGCTGAGTCAGGATAATGGTGTGAACCTGGGAGGTGGAGCTTGCAGTGAGCCGAGATTGCGCCACTGCACGCCAGCCTAGGCAATAGAGCAGGACTCTGTCTTAGAAAAAAAAAAAAAGGAAAAGAAAAAAAGAAGTTTCCAAAAGAAGGTATCTTTTAGGTTTTTCATCCCTATGCCCCAGTCTAGAATCTCTACACACAGAAGTGTGGACAGACTTATAGTCTAGATTGACAATGGCTAGTGATAGAGATAAGAAAGATATACTTTATTATTGCCACTGGCATCAAATTTAAAAGCTTAGGCTGGCAAGCAAGGCCTCTCATTAAACAACATTCCTTACCTCGTCTGTCCCTATCCGAAAAAGCCCTTACTTTTCAGCTGAGTTGGTCACATCCATTTTCCCCTTCCTGTCTCTGTTCTTGCTGGTCCCTCCATCTGGATGGGGAGGGAAGGAAGAATAATGCATGTCCATTATTTCCTTCAAGACCAAGCTCTGTCTTACTTTATGTTTCAACAGCCATGAACACAAAGGATTTCTAGAATTCTATACTACCATACGCTTATATTCCCATGCTTCCTCATGGAGGTTCCTCTCTTCTCCAAAATTAGACCTTAAAGACATGGTATTGAGTGGGCACTGACTGAAAGCTTATCTAGTTTATGAGTGGAATGGAATTTCAAAAGATAGAAAAATTAAAGGTTCAGGCCTCTCCTACCTTTATCCTGTGTCAATCCCAAAACTCTTCTTTCTCCTCCATTATCTTTCCTGTCTATAACTCCTTATCTTCAAGCTTAATGTAAGGGCAATTCCGGGCATGAAAAGACAACACAGTTTGTACTTTTGGTTTCATATTTTTTCAGTTCATTTCAGTAAAAACATAATATATAAAAGGCATTGCCACCATTTTCCCCTTCTGGGGGTGATCCATCAAGCCAGTGTGGGCTGCTCCAGTGGTTCATAGCTCATCATGCGATATGTGCAGGGCATGGTCACAAAGATCTGCAAATGGCAAACAATTTAAAGGAAAATGCCACTCTCATATTGATATGTGCCAGTATTAAGAAAATTTCCCAGACCAAGCTGACACAAACACACACCAACCACCATTCTGCAGAATATATGCTTATAAATGATAAAACATCCCCACTGCCCTCTCACCTGTATCTCAGGGTCAAGGGGACACAAATTCTGAAAGCTGACAGAAAATGGGTAGGAACACCCCAAGTCTCTAAGCCAAGGGAAATGGAAGACAGCTCTTGAGCTAATACCAGAGGTTTCTGGGATGGGGGTGTATGGGTGAGTTAGGGAATATCAGGTTCCACAGAGCTACTAGAACAGGAGATAAAGTGGGGGCAGCTTACCTGTTCGCTTACTGCAAAGTTTGTCTTTAACATTGTCAGCCTCTCGGGAAAAGAATTCAATGAGTTCATCCTCGTATTCCTCCACAATGCTCTCACACTGCCAACCCAAGGGAGAAATGGGTGACACAGGGCAATAAAAGGCCTCTTGCCTTCACTTCCAAAGAGGACAAGGATATCAGCCTAACTTTCTAATTGGTTCTCCAACAACCCCTTAATGTCCAAGAACCAGCTACTGATTCCCATAGCTCACCGCAAACTTGAGGGTGCCACTGATATCTGAGTCAATTCGGATGCCTTGTAGGTCCAGTTCATTGGATTCTCCATTCCGGCCCACTACACGTACATAGTTCTTGCGATGGGTGGAAGGATCAATCTGTTCCCCATACTCCTTCATCCGGTCACATATCTCCTCCAGCAGCTCTGTGAGGTGGGCCTCTGAGCGGGCATAAGGCACCTAGAAATGTCCTCAGCCTTGGGTCACTCTCTTCTACCTCTGTACATTAGTAATTTATATCCTTACTTTTCTTTCCAAATCTAGCTCTAACAACCTATTCTAAAAAGCTTTCCCTAATTGATTTTAATTTTTAATTAGTTTGTTTTTTTTTTTTTTTCTGAGATGGGGTTTTGCTCTTGTTTCCCAGGCTAGAGCACAATGTTGCAATCTTGGCTCACTGCAACCTCTGCCTCCTGGGTTCAAGTGATTCTCCTGCCTCAGCCTCCTGAGTAGCTGGGATTACAGACATGCACCACTACACCCAGCTAACTTTTGTATTTTTAGTAGAGATGGGGTTTCTCCATGTTGGTCAGGCTGGTCTCAAACTCCAGACCTCAGGTGATCTGCCCGCTTCAGCATCCCAAAGTGCTGGGATTATAGATGTGAGCCACTGTGCCCGGCCTAGTTGTTTTGTGGTTTTTAATTAGTACAGTTTACTTGATAGTTTCAAAGTACTTTTTTTTTTTTTTTTTTGAGACAGGCCTCACTGCATTGCCCAGGCTAGAGTGCAGTGGTGTGATGACTGAGGCTCACTACAGCTTGGATTTCCCAGGCTCAGGTGATCCTCCCACCTCAGCCTCTCACAGGTGCGCACCACCAGGCTCAGCTACTTTTTTGTATTTTTTTTGTAGAGAGTTTTGCCATGTTGCCCAGGCTGGTCTCAAACTCCTGCACTCAAGTGATCTGCCTGCCTCAGTCTCCCAGAGTGCTGGGATTACAGGTATGAGCCACTGTACTTGGCAGTAGTTTCAAATATATGATTTGACTTTACCTCATTGTACAATTCTTTTTTTTTTTTTAGAGATGGAGTTTCACTCTTGTTGCCCAGGCTAGAGTGCAATGGTGCAATCTTGGCTCACTGCAACCTCCACCTCCCGGGTTCAAGTGATTTCTCCTGCCTCAGCCTCCCGAGTAGTTGGGATTACAGGCATGTGCCACCACGCCCAGCTAATTTTGTATTTTTAGTAGAGACGGGGTTTCTCCATGTTGGTCAGGCTGGTCTCAAACTCCTGACTTCAGGTAATCCACCCACCTCGGCCTCCCAAAGTGCTGGGATTACAGGCATGAGCCACCGTGCCCGGCACTTCATTGTACAATTCTAAGAAACAAGACAGTTAACATTAGCTCCAAGTTATAAACAGAATTTTTTGATTAACCCTGATCAACTTATACTTTTAATTTCTATAGATGAAGACAATTTTTTTTTTTTAAATTATACTTTAAGTTCTGGGATACATGTGCAGAACGTGCAGGTTTGTTACCTAGGTATACATGTGCCATGGTGGTTTGCTGCACCTATCAACCTGTCATCTACATTAGGTATTTCTCCTAATGCTATCCCTCCCCTAGCCCCCCAGACACCAACAGGACCTGATGTGTGATGTTCCCCTCCCTGTGTCCATGTGTTCTCATTAATATATATATATTTTTGGCCAGGCACGGTGGCTCACGCCTGTAATCCCAGCACTTTGGGAGGCCGAGGAGGGTGGATCACCTGAGGTCAGGAGTTTGAGACCATTCTGACCAACATGGAAAAACCCTGTCTCTACTAAAAATACAAAATTAGCCAGGCATGGTGGTGCATGCCTGTAATCCCAGCTACTTGGGAGGCTGAGGCAGGAGAAACGCTTGAATCCGGGAAGCAGAGGTTGCAGTGAGCCAAGATCGTGTCATTGCACTCTATCCTGGGCAACAAGAGCGAAACTCTGACTCAAAAATAATAATAATAATAATTTTTTAAAATTGAGACTAATATCCTCAGTAAGCACAGTATTAAAGAGGTAGTGTAGGCTCTGTGGACAACAGCTATTAAGGTACCATAATCTTTTTTTTTCCCCAAGACAGAGTTTTGCTCTTGTCAACCAGAATGAAGTGCAGAGGGGTGTTCCTGGCTCACTGCAACCTCCGCCTCCTGGGTTCAATTGATTCTCCTGCCTCAGCCTCCCGAGTAGCTGGGACTATAGGCATGCGCCACCGCGCCTGGCTAATTTTTTGTATTTTTAGTAGAGATGAAGTTTCACCATGTTGGCCAGGCTGGTCTCAAACTTCTAACCTCAGGTGATCTGCCTGGCTCAGTCTCCCAAAGTGCTGGGTTTTGTTTTTTTTTTTTTGAGACAGGGTTTTGCTGTGTTTCCCAGGTTGGAGTGCAGTGGCACGATCACGGCTTACTGCAGCCTTGACCTCTTGAGCTTAAGTGATCCTCTAGGCTCAAGTGATCCTCCCACCTCAGCCCTCCAAGTAGCGGTCACTACAGGCACATGCCACCATGCACTGTTAACTTTTGCATTTCTTTGTAGAGATGGTGTTTTGCCATGATGCCCAGGCTAGCACCATAATCTTAACATTGCCTTATATATTACTTATTAGATACACCTTTGTGTACATGTGTGTTGTTTTCGACTAAAATTTCCTAATTATGATAAAACCTTTTATTCTTATTTTTCATTTTTTATTTTTAGCTCTGATTCAGATTTTGAATGGACGTTTGTATGTATACCACAGTGCTACAGTAAAAACGAGTCATGTGGATGTGGAAAAGGGGGCTGATCAGGACTCCCTGTTTGCTAACAAATTCTACAGCAGAAACAAAGTATTAAGGTTTGGAGCCAGGAAGCAAGTGCATGGGGAATAAGCCTGCAGCCTCTTCCAAATGAGACAGAGCCAAATCTTTTAGATATCCCTGAGTCTATTTTCTTCATTTCTATTAAACTAAGGTCCTTTTTAAGCAGTCGAATTGTCATCCAAAGCCAGAGTGAGCTACTTTGTTTGGGGGAACAGTAACAGTTACCTCCACCACTGACTGGCTGCCATCTGGATTGATCCGGAAAGATCCCATCTGAATAGTCTTCTTGGGGTCCACCTGGGCAATTTCCCATTCTAGTTCATCCACCAGAGCCCTGCACGCTGGTGGAAGAGGAGAGAATGGGAGCAGGGGAGAGGGTGGGGGTAGGGTGTGAGAATGGGATCAACCCAGGATTTCCATTCCTCCTTCTCCCAGGCCTTGGATCTCATGCCCTCCCAAGGCTCTGCTTCCTCCACTTCTTTTTCCTGTTGTGCCTTTACCTCCACAGTGGAGATCCTGGCTCCTCCGAGCCCAGGCGGTTCCCAGCAGGGCCCCCAGAAGCAGGGCCAGCCAACCCCAGCCTTTCATCTTTAGCGTAATGGGGTCGCTCCACCTGGGTTTGTGTGGGAATAAAACAAGTGTGAGAAGCCGACTCCATTTTTCCCTGACCCCCCCACTCCTCACCCCAAGGCTTTCAAAGGCTTCACTGTGACTCTGGCTCTACTTTCCAGGAAATGGCCGGGACACAAAGGGGCTTCTCTGTTCCAGCGCTTGAGGGCTCTGATTCCCCCAGGGCGGTAGGTGGGAACGCAAGCTCAGGACTTGGGGCTCAGTCCCAGACTCTACGTGGAAAGGTGAGGCCCTAGGTGTTGGTACTTTAGCACTGCATACCTAGAGTTCACGGGGCTTTGTGGCAGCTACAGGAGATAAGTTGGCGATTACGCGAGGACTACAAGCACTAGGGAACTGCCAGCAGGGAGCCCTCAGTCAGGCCAGGAGGCCAGCATTCAATAATTAGGGCCCATTTGGATCCTGCACCGAAGATTCCTGCGTCCCCATCTCCAGCCCGTAAGTTGATTATCCGTACGGACCTCAGCCCCCTTTCTAAGGACTCCGCCATTGCTTTCGCTCCAGTCCATCCCCAACCCTCAGCGCCCAGCACCTCGCCGCTCGCATCCGTCCCACCTCTGCTCCCAGGGCCGCTGCCGTGGCCCAAGCGCTGGAAGACCGCTGGACTCTCACTTTGGCCCCAGTGGCTCCCGAAACTACACCTGGCTGCGGGGAGCAGGGCTGTCCGGAATCCTCCAGAGCGCTTCGCCGCTTGCCACACACGGGGTGTCCCGGCGACCGCCTGACCCAGCTCCCGTGGCGCTAACTGGTACCTAAGCGGGGCTCGAGCGTGCTGCGGTGCGAGCCCCAATCAGACACCGACCCCAAACCCGCCCCTCCAAACTCTCGCGCGAACAGGCAGCTTGGGAGAGGCTCCTGGATAGCAAGGACCCCGGTCAATCGCTGAAGGACCCAGACTTGCGTGGCGAACAGCTCCACGTGACCTCCAGGGGTCAGCCGTAGGAGTGGCCTTAAGAGACGACAGAGGCCGGGTGTACTGTATGGAAGCGGCTAGTCGTGCGCGTGAGCCAACTCAGGTGGGCTAGGACCTTCAAAACGGTGCTCTGCAGGCCAGTGAGCAGCCCAGGTTTCAATACACAGGAAACTACATCTCCCAGGAAGCATCACAGCACCAGACCCATCTTTGTGAGCAACTACCGGTCTCAAGCTATCCTGGGACCTGTAGTTTGTCGGCTTACACAATTAACGGGGAAACCGTACTGTACATCTTCAGTCTGACGTAGGGTACTGGGCAGCTACAGCAAAGACCCAGCATTGCCCAGAAAAGGCATAATTATACCTTTTTTTTTTCCTTTTGTTGAGACGGAGTCTCGCCCTATCGCCCAGGCTGGCGTACAGTGGCGTAATCTTGGCGCACTGCACCCTCCGCTTCCCGGGTTCGAGCAATTCTCTGCCTCAGCTAGGATTACAGTCGCCATCCACCACGCCCGGCTAATTTTTGTATTTTTAGTAGAGACGGGGGTTTCACCATCTTCGTCACACTGGTCTCGAACTCCTGACCTCCTGATCTACCCACCTCGGCCTCCCAAAGTGCTGGGAATTACAGAAGTGACCCACTGCGCCTGGCCCAATTATACCCTTTCACATCCACAACTTTGGATTCCGCACCTTTACCTTCAAAGGAAGGAGAGGAAGACTGAAGCCAGAGAACCCACACTAGCAGTTCCCTAATGAGATAAATGACAAACGGTATTTTGTTTTTATTTTATAAAACATGCAGTTTACAACAAATTTTTAAAAAACGGAACAAAACTTGGGACAGGAGAGTGGGATGGAAGACAGATGCTTCTCAGCCATCAGCAGGAATAAATGAAGCCAGCAGCCAAGCTTTGTCCAGGATCCAAAGGCCCTTTTGGCAATGGTATTGGCAACACTGGTTTGTTTGGGCCACCAACACTCTACTTGCTGGCCCCTCCAGGCATCCCTGAAGCAGTTGGTGACTTGTGCTAAGTCTTGAACTACTGTGGTATCCTCTGTCGCTGTCCAGGACTTCAATCCCTAGCCAGCTAGGAACTGACAATTATGGTTCCAGGAGCTTCTCTGCCTGGATATTAGTGAACCAGGATATTAAGAATACCAATTACTTTCCATCTGGGTCAATTCTAGACTCTGTTTCTGTGCCACTGTTTTGCAAAGGATGAAGAAGGAATGAATCTGGCTCCTAGAACCTTTGCAACAATTCTGCTGTGTTCCAGTTCTATTAATAGCACCATCTGAGACTCTAGACCCTGAGCACGTCCAGTACTGGAAGTGGACAAGGTATAGCCAACTAAGGAACCCATCTCCCAGTTCTGGGGCTATAGAACAGTAAAGGGAGAGGGCAGTGGTTCTTTGGGAAGGGTAGTCAGAGCGCCAGCACTGAGGAGAAGACAGCTGCATCTGTCAGAGACAAAACCAAAAGCATGATTCAAGCTGAGTAGAGAAAAAAGCATCTTCTCATTACTTCCTATGAAGGAAAAATGCAAGAGAAAAAAGGGCATGGACCTTCCCTGAACATTTTAGACTTGGGCAAGAGGAAGTTATAGTTAATGGAGAGTTTTGATAAAATGTATTTCACTGAATGTTAGGAGGATGAAGTGCTTTGTAAACTGTGAAGTGCTATTCTCCATATGTGCAATCAAAATCCACCCAGTTGGGGGCGCTGGGCTCATGCCTGTAATCCCAGCACTTTGTGAGCCCAAGGTGGATGGATCGCTTGAGCCCAGGAGTTTAAGACCAGCCTGTGCAACATGGCAAAACCCTGTTTCTACAAAAAGTACAAAAATTAGCTGGGTGTGGTGGTGTGTGCCTGTTGTCCCAGGTACTTGGGAGTCTGAGGTGGGAGAATCACTTGAGCCCAGGAAGTCGAGGCTGCAGTGAGCTGTAATCACGCTACTGCACTTCAGCCTGGGTAAGAGTGAGACCCTGTCACAAACAAAATACAAAATCCACCCAGTCCAGTTTCCCTTGTCCCATCCCAGGTCTTACTCTTGGGACTTGTTTGGCCCTCAGGCTCAGGCACCTTCCAGTCCATCTTTCGGCCCTTCTCATAAAGACCCTTGAGCACCTTGTGGAAAGACTCAGGCTCAGTGCCATTTTTGCTTAGCTCCAGATACTTTCGGTAGAGCTGAAGGGCTGTGCGTGCATCCTCAATACTGTCATGGGTTTCCCCTTGAATCTTCAGGTCTGGGGTAAGTAAAGGTGGAATAGTTTGGGACCCAGCAAAGAGAGGTAGGAACATGTCTCCCCACTCCTACCTGACTCCAGAAAACTAAAAAGCCTGACTGTCCTTAAGGGAAATTGTCAAACATCTTCTTCATTGCACAGAAGGGATATTGAAGTTAATTAAATCCATTAGTAACTGTCACCACTAACTGAGGGTCACCCCTACTCCCACTTTGTCCTCTTAACACTTTTCCTACTTTGTCTTTTCCCCCCATGCTTTTATTTTTTATGTTTAAATTTTATTTTAGATTTGGGGTACATGTGCATATTTGCTACATGGGTATATCATGTACTGGTGAGGACTGGGCTTCTGGTATCCCTAATATGCAAATAGTGAACTATGCAGCCAATACGTAATTTTCAACCCTCACCCATCCCCCACCAACCCCACTTTTAGAGTCCCCAGTGTCTATTATTTCCATCCTTATGTCCATATGTACTCATTGTTTAGTTCCAACTTATAAGTGAGAATATGTGGTATCTGATTTTCTGTTTCTGAGTTAGTTCACTTAGTATGATGGCCCACAGCTCCATCCATGTTGCTGCAAAGGACACGATTGCTTTTTTTTTAAATGGCTGCTTCTGCTATTAATGTACACCACAGGGGCCTACAAGGCAGAGCAACTCACCCAGAAAGTACCAAGCAAGGAATCGCAGGGAAATCATTCGTTTTCGGGGCATGTGGAACAGGTAGACAGTATCAAGGACTTGGTCCTTGGGCACCTGGCAAAGATAAAAGAGGGGGAGACTTAAGGTAGGGGACTATAATTTCCCATTCTCTGAAGGCACAGTGTATACCCTGAGGGGCCCACTCTCACAAGAAGACTCTTAAAAGAGCCCTGCCAAACCATCAGGTTGATGACCCGGAAGTCCTTCTGCAGGCCATGACCCACAAACTTGACTCCAATGTCAATGAGAAAACGAAGCTTTAAGTAGGTAGACTTGAGAGTTGTTAGGTGCTTGGAGGAAATTTTGGCATCGAGGTCACCAGGCTTTATACCCGAGTATTGAGTCAAGTAATCCACCACCTAGGAATAGAGAAAAGGACAAGTCTTTTTCAGGAAGTGAGGTGGAGTTTTCCCCTATCACTCTTCCCTGGGTTCTTGAGCACTGTACATAAGCACCAGGGTGTGCCTCACTTGCATCTCTGTATCTTAATACCTGCTCCTGGGTAGAGATGTAGTCATCAATGAAGGGGATACCCTCATTAGGTCCCTGGCCCCGGACACAGGTAATCCTGGCTACTGACATCTGACTTGGTTTAATGGTAGACTTGGTACCATCACTGCGTAACTCTGCTTCCTCCTACATGAGAAGAGTTAATAAGGAAATCAGAGAAATGCTTACAACTCCTAATATCCTCAGAGTTCTCTTCCAATGCCCCATCCCTTTGGTCTTGGTTACCTCATTAAGGGTGACAAACTCAGCATCCAGACCCACCAGGTCCCCAATCTGTGGCATCTCATTCAGCATCAGTGGAATAAAGGTAGTATGTGTTTTCCGCTGCTTCCGTGCCAGCGAGGCTTCAGCCAGCAAGACACTTGCCTCAATAGGGTTCTTGACTAGAAGGGAGAATGAAGAGGACACAGGGCTTGGATAGCGAAGTGACTAGGGGAGAGAAGCCCAATGTGGCTGATAGACTCTGGGTCTTCACTTGACCCCTCAATAATCAAAGCACGTGAGAAAAAAGATCATGTCTGATAAATGGGACAGGTAGACAGAGCAGGTCACATCACAAAATTATCAACAAACATGCTGAGAAAAAAACCAGAAAAGACCACAGAGAATAAAGAATAAGATTTTCACTTGGACCTTAGTTTAGAGAATCCAGAAAAAGGTTACAGAGAAACTATGGTTTAAAGATACCAAATAGGTACTTAATAAGGAGCTCACAGCTGGGCGTGGTGACTCATGCCTATAATCCCAGCACTTTGGGAGGCCAAGGCGGGCAGATCACCTGAGGTCTGGAGTGTAAGACCAGCCTGGCCAACATGGTGAAACCCTGTCTCTACTAAAAATACAAAAATTAGCCAGGTGTGGTGGTACGCGCCTGTAATCCCAGCTACTCAGGAGGCTGAGGCAGGAGAATCACTTGAACCCCGGAGGCAGAGGTTGCAGTGAGCTGAGATCGCGCCATTGCACTCCAGCCTGGGGGAACAAGAGCAAGACTTCATCTAAAAAAAAAAAAAAAAAAAAAAAAAAGGAGCTCACCTCCAAAAGAGATCTTCATTTGGGGTAAGAATAATTAGACGGCCGGGCACGGTGGCTCAAGCCTGTAATCCCAGCACTTTGGGAGGCCGAGACGGGCGGATCACGAGGTCGGGAGATCGAGACCATCCTGGCTAACACGGTGAAACCCCGTCTCTACTAAAAAAAAAAAAAAAAATACAGAAAACTAGCCGGGTGAGGTGGCGGGCACCTGTAGTCCCAGCTACTCGGGAGGCTGAGGCAGGAGAATGGCGTAAACCCAGGAGGCGGAGGTTGCAGTGAGCTGAGATCCAGCCACTGCACTCCAGCCTGGGCGACAGAGCGAGACTCCGTCTCAAAAAAAAAAAAATAAATAAATAAAAAATAATAATTAGACATGAGACAGGCGCAGTGGCTTACGCCTATAATCCCAGTACTTTGGGAGGCCAAGGCAGGCAGATCACCAGGTCAGGAGTTTGAGACCAGCCTGGCCAACATGGTGAAACCCGTCTCTACTAATTAGACAAAAAACAAAAAAATTAGCTAGGCATAGTGGCACCTGTCTGTAATCCCAACTGCTTGGGAGGCTGAGGCAGGAGAATCACTTGAACCCAGGAGGCAGAGGTCGCAGTGAGCCAAGATCACGCATTGCACTCCAGCCTGGGCAACAAGAGC